TGGTAGCATATGTGACAAGTCATGGCCTACTGTATACTGATAATTCCTGCTCAATTGCCGGTTGCCAGCTATCACCACAAAGGTGCGCCGCTTCCCTGTACAAGACAGAAAATGTGAAGGACCTGAATAAGCCTCTTTTGTGGGTTCTTGCATTCTTCGTGCTGTTTTTAGCATTTGTAGTGGTAGCTGTGGGCAAGAATGTGCCAGGGCTGTCATTTCTGGAGACTCCAAGAACATTTCAGGAAACTCAAAGACTCCGCAGTTCTTTCGCAATGTGAATTCCGCACCATCAATATCTCCGGTCTTAGCAGGTTATTAATTTGAGCTCGTTCTGAGCACGCGCTCTAAGCACCGCCTTCAAATATGGCGTCCAGTGAATACTAAAGGCACTGGAGCCTGGAAAAGTAGCGCTGCTGCCTTCCCTGCCTTCTAGCCTAGGGTGCCTCCATGTGGGCTTTGCTTAGGGTGGAGACATCTGACCATTTTCTTCCCACTTTTACAGTTATTTTTTCTTCAGAAGCGCGTGAAAGAGCGTGTTCCCGCACGCGTCTGTGGCGCTGACTGTGCTATGGCGACATTTTGTTTTCGTCAATTTCTTTGTATTTTCCCCGCGAGCGCGTGCTGTCGGCATCGGGTACTACAAAGGGTGGCATCACTCTAAACAGAAAGTCATTGAGGCACCCTATTCTAGCCGATCACACTGGGCGCCATACCGAGAAAGCCTTCATGATCACGTGGTTTGTCGGAACCATGGTGTGACTAAAGTCACTGTATCCTGAGAAAGTAGCGCCGTATGGTTGCCATTTTGGTCCGTGAAATGAGCAATTTCTCTTTGACCCCTCCGTTCTTGGTGAGCCGATCTGAATTTGCTGGTGACGGCTATACCTTTATTGAGGCGTTTCCTGTGTACCGAGATTTTGCTGTCCACACACCGGCGAAACAAGCGTACATCTTTGTACCACCACCACATGCTGTGTTTACTGTTTTGAAATACGCAAGAAGAAGAATATAATTGTAAGAGATCCGTGGACATGGGCATGATTGATAAGTTGACTGCATACACAGTCACAAAGACGGTTATATTGGCGAGGAACGCTTCCAGTACGATGATGCTCCATGGTGATCTTGGCGTGATAGGTTTAGAACGACTCTCAGGAAGGGCTTTAAAGATTTGAATGGAATGAGATGGCGATTTTTATGGCAGCGTTCTAGACCGTGTTAGGCGGAGAAAGGGGGAAACGGGACGCGATGCGGCCCTCTCTTTGAGGCGTCGCAGGGGCGGGACGTGCGAGCGCGGTACCGGTTGGTGTCTCTGGGCGAGTGATCGCACGGACGGGCGCTTTGCCGGGCGGCAAGCGCGTGCCCGCGCCCTAGGCACGAGTTTGGCTAGCTTGGCCTTTGAATTGTAGAGCCTGTATGTACTGTACATAGCGCGTTTTCGGTTTTTAGTTTTGTTCTAGGCATGACACCACTGTTGTAAACAAAATTTTCTAACCAGAGGTACATAACGCGTTTTAGGTTAGAAGAAAACTGCTCTAACGTCACCCCCCCCCCTCCCTCGCAAGGCAAAGCTGATGTTGGCAAAAGCAATCAAGGTACGGAGTGCCCAGCACCCCCACGCCTCCCCCCCCCCCCCCCCCCCCAAAGAATAAAAAAGAGAAAAATGCGATACCGAAAAGAAAAATTATTAGCGTCCGAGTGTTCTGCAGGCCGTCGACGAAGCGACAGGTAGTGCATGGTGTGCAATCAACTTTGGAGCCAAGCAGCCCCGCATTCAGTATGGATCGAGTGCATGAAATGCTAGGAGTGGACTCATGAACAATGCATTAAAGCTCACACAGTGCGTTTCAAGTGTTTTTATTGCAAAAAGTGAACGCGAACCCCACCACGTTGTCCAATTTTGCCCCACAGGGCGCGGCAAAATGAGAGACTGTGTGACTTTCAGATATTGTACTTTTGCTTAATGTTTCGCTTGCTCCAGTTAAGTAATATTTTGCTGAACATAGAGTCGAGACATTTAAGAATATCCCTATGCTGTGTTTTTTAAATATTGAAGTAAAAATAAAAGTCACCATTGAAATGGATGTTTTTTGTCTCCATTTCGCCCCACCTTACCCTATGGCAATAACTCACTCTGAGGGCTCTAAGCATCCTAGAAATTCATGAATCATAACGTTGAGCGGCCGATTTACCTATTAAAAAATCAATCAAAGATCGAACACACCCAGGTCAATTTTGTCGATGGGTGGAGCATTGTTCCGGCAGCCAGGATGACATGTGACCATTGAAAACGCTACGTTTCGTTGATATTGAAAACGCTGTTATTACAAAATGTACATGCTTTTGTAGATGTTAAAAGCAATTAAGAGAGGTGGAAAAATGTCATTTTTCGCGGAGAGGGAACATAATACTCGAATAATCGTCTCAAAAACAGTGCACTACCTTGTTGTTGTTTTGTCTTTTGTGGGAGTGATGTGTCGGGTTGTCAGCTAGCGCTCGAGCGCGCGCTCGCTCGGTTGAAACGTAGTACGCGCTGTATGAGCAACGAGCTGCGCGCATTCGAGATATCACTCAGTGGTTCCACCGGTCGGAGAGGCGAAAATCCTTAGCTTGCTATTAGCTGACAGTGGTCCTAGTTTCGGAACATGCTCCTCTCGTCACCGGAGATAATCTAGGTGTGCTTTTATCTTTGATTGCTTCCTTAAGAGGGAAATTGGCCGCGTATCGTCATGATTTAGGGATCTCTAGGATTCTTAGATCCAGCAGAGTGAGTTATCGCCATACTTAAACGACCTCAGACACATCCTCAAGCAACCTTAAAAGAAAGGCCTATCTGGTTCCCCTTCGTGAAGTGTGCTGAGACTTTCCTCAAAACCCAGATTGGCTCAAGCCTTCCTGGCGTTAAAGCTGGATGAGCCCATGTACCCTTCCAGGTCCACTTTCGGTGCTGCTTGACTGGCTCTCACTGCTACCTACCCACATGTTTCTCGCGCATCTCGAGGTGATGACAGGTGAATGACGACAGGCACAGTGCGTATTTACCTGACGTGAGTCCCGGCACAGCTAACACCTTCCACACTGCTTCGGTGACTTCGCAGCGGTTGTAATCCCAGAGGACCCTGGCCGTTGCAGTTCCTCTGCATCGTTTGCTCTGTGGACTCACGAATTAATACTTTCAGTGTTCGCATTGTGAAATTTTGCCAGCTCGCCTATCTGGTATGATATTTGTGTTGGATCCTACCTACCATCCACTACTTGCTGCTCGCCTGCTATGAAATATGGGTTCCAAAAGTATTCAAATCACGTACGTTACGGTAGTAGCCAGTGGTCAGCGGACAAACATCGTCTTCGTTGAAGGGGGGGGGGGGGGGGGGGGGGCGCCTTTGGCGGTGGTTGCGTGAAGCCGGCGCAACAGCGCTAAAGCACGGGGAAGCCAGAGATTGGGCAGGCATTAACATTATAAAGAGGGCTGTTGGCACACGCTTACTAACCTAAAGTTACTGAGTACTACGACCTTTTTCCTGAGAATGTAGGGCAAACTAGAGTCACTCCATCGCAGATCACGCATACTTTCCAGCCCAGGCCTATCGTTTAGGAAAAGTGGGACTACCAAATTGGGATAACCGGGAGGCCACGGACTATGTTGACTTGACTGACCAGCTTGTATTAGCATTGTTTTTCCTGCAAATACTGCTTCACGTTTAGTACGTTGTGACACAAAATGAGTGTTTGGATACAGGAAAAAAAATTTCCCATCTCATAGTAAAATTTTTGTTTCGTCTTTTAGTTTATAGTTCTGGGAAGTCTACCATGGAACCAGCTGGCTGCAGGTCCACGCATATCGGCAAAATATACGTCTCACTACGATATATATACTCAAAGTTCTATGTGCGTGTCAAAGAGGGGTAACGTTATCAAGGTGTGTGTCGTTCGTTAACGAAGTGCACGGCGCTCTAGAAATTCTTCTAGTGACGAAAACATCTGCTGCTGAAAAGAATAAGACTCTCACAAATGGTCACTCCTCACCCGTTAGCTAGTGTTTCGCAGTGCGATTGCATGAACGGCAAGGGTTAGTTAATGCATATGGCCTAACAAGAAGACTATAGTTACTGACTGCTTTCTCGTTTCACTCGCCCAGGAATTTAATCACCGTCGAGTCACAGGACAGTACGCTACTACAATTATGTCTGATGCGATGGTAGAAAACCAACGCGCACATTTCCCATAAAAAATAAACGGACTCTTTATTTATGTGGATGGTTCAACGTCTAGGTGTCTAAATTACGATAACGAAACCTGGACATGGAACACAAACAGACGTCACAGGCTCTGTCATCTGTGTGTCGCCTGTGTCGTCTGTATGTCTTTCATTTTCCTCTTTCGTTATCGTAACTTTCTTTATAAAATTTCTTTCTTCTTTCGCAAAAGAAATTTTGCCACGAGTTTTTTATCGCCTTCATGCCTACGATTGCACTAGTAAAATATACAGCAAATTCATCAACTGACTCATCAACTTATTCTTATGATGTGTATAATCTCCTAAACATATGATTTACGGAGCCAGTTCAGAGCAAGAGCTCCAAGAACGGAACCAAATTGTTGCGATAGTCAATTCACTTCTTTTATTATGCTCTCAGCTAGACATAAAAAGTACAAACGCCAAGATTCCAATTTTTAATAGTTTTATTTTATAAACTATATCTTCATAAAAAAACATTAAAACTTTAGACACCTGAGGAAGCTAGGAGACTTAACTTCTCCTGAGCTGTGGAAAAGAATATTTTTGCGAAATGTCAGCTGGCTTTCTGGGGCTTCCGGAAGATTCCTCTTTGAATACATTCTACAAGGTTCAACTATAGTTTGCCTTTGATGTTGACGCACCTCAGCAGTGCTTAGAGTAAACGAGTTCAAACAAATGATGTTGAGCTTTAGAAACACCCATTCGGACGCACGCCGAGGCTCAATCTGGTCATCTGAAGATAGTTGGAAAGTCACCAAAAGCACGCGCCCTGTAGGGTATGATACTACTAAGGGACCTCGCGTCTCATTCAGCCTCTTTTCACGGGGTTCTACATAACACGGGTTGGGTTTCCGTCTGTTTTCTTTGGAAAAGCTCTTCGATCTCTTCCAACGACTTCCCGTTCGTTTCTCGCATGAAAGCAGCAATCAGGACAAAACCAGCTACAGCGAAACTCGCGTACAACCAAAAGATGCCGTCCTCCCCAAAAAGCATCAGCATGGGGTGATACTGCAGCGTCGTGACAGCCGCACACGCGAAGAAAAAGCACATGAGTACGCCCGACGCGAAGCCCTTGACCCTAAGCGGCAGCATCTCTCCCAGTAGGAGAGGTGGTACGGGACGGAGACCGACCGAATACCCGAGGAAGTAGATACAGATCGAAGACAGGGGCAGCCAACCCAACGACTCGACAAAGCTTGCATCCCTCTTCAGCTTAAAGTGATAGAATGTGCCCAATGCTGCCAAGCTCACCGCACACATCGTCAACGATAGGAGTAAGAGCATCTTACGGCCGAGTCGGTCCGTGAGCACCGCCGCCACTCCTACGCTGAGCAAAGGCACTGTTCCCACGATGATGGAGCTGTCGGCCGCCGACAAAATAGAGCCAGCCGTAGCAAATATGTCCTCCGTGTAGAACATGAGCACAGAGCCGCCCGTAAACTGCTGAAGGAACAAACCCAAAAGGATGATACTGATTGGCCAGTACAAGCTTGGTTGTTTCAACTCTGACAGGCGAAACTCCTCGGCGTTGTCCACGTTGTCCTTCATGTCCTTAAACTCGCCATCAATGTCGAATCCTCTGTAGGACTGCAAGGCCAGCCGAGCTGCTTCCCGGTGGCCGACTTGGAGGAGCCATCGCGGCGATTCGGCGAGCCACGGTAAAATCAGAGCTGTCAGGACCGCGGGAACTATGCTGGCTACGGCGAGCCAGTCATAGGCTAGCCATTTTCCCAAGACATATGACATCAGTACGCCCAGGTTGAAAGCCATGAAGCACAAAGTGTTGAGAAGACCTCGTATGTTCTTGGGGCTCACTTCAGACACAAAGAGTGGACAAGAAATCGACACAAGGCCCATCGTCACACCTGTAATCAGCCGGCCTGTAAAGAGGACTCCTGGAACGGTGCCTGCAAAAATGCAGATCCAGCCGGTGATGATGACCCCCATAGAAAACAGCATGGTATTCTTGCCACCGATGCTCCTCACAGACAGGCCTGAAATGTTAATAAGACAGAACGTATAAGTCGAAGACGCTGTCGCCCCTCATATGATTGTGCCTTAAAATTTCTATTTATTCGTTTGTTCTAAGTATTTTTGCTCGACCTACAACAAAATTTCGGCACCTAGTTTCTGTGTATACGTGTTTAAAGGAGCAGTATCACATCGGACACACCAATTACAATGAACTAGACCTTAATCCCTTGTTGAAAAGACACGAAAGACAGTTTTAAAACGAATTAAACGATTAGCAAATGGCACCTGGTAGATGTCGCTAAAGCCTCGTTTGTAATGTCCATCTCGGAATATTAACAGGTAGTGACGATGCGTCTCGCCCTGAACTATTCGCGACTCCAACGAACTATGAAGGCGCGCTGATCAGGTAAAATAGCGGACGAAAGGAGGTCCTTATCGTTGTTCACCACGCGGACCACCATAAATTTCTTACACTTCAACGTAAAATCGGTGTTATTTTTGGAAGCAAAAGCAATTTTTTTCGACGGTACTAACTTTCTAGTCAGTGCGTAGAAATGGCACGGCGGATGCATAAAATAAATGACTGGAAACTCTGTTTCTTTCTATGCTGCCTACGAAATCCAAGCAGCGATAGCAGACGACATAGCCAAAACGACCTCCTCTCCTGAGTTTTTCGGCGTTGCCGCAACGCGGCGTCGATTTCGTTGAAGTCGCCAACAGCCTCACTGGAGTCAAATGTGTTCAAGCATGTGCTGCGTGCGCGCGAACCTATAGCTTTGCAAGCTTGTAATTGCACGAACTTGCCCGCACGATCAGAGATGTGCCGGCATCCAGATGCCCTGCTTACAATCGTCGTGTCGGCGTCTGCCTCGCCGATGCTTTGCTCGTCCCAAGACAGGCTGTCTCGAGACAGAGTCTGCGCACCCCCCAGCCCCCCCCCCCCCCTCGCTCCCTTCCCCCTCCCCTCCTTTTTGGGAGCTCGCCAGGAAAGGAAGTACACTCGCCTCCTGGACCTACGTCTTGGAAACAGTTTAAGAAACTGAATTCCAGGCGAACGAAAGATAGCAATAAAAATGGAAAGAAAAGCCTGCAGACGGCAGGAAATACGTAGTAAAAGACTCCCTCGGCGACTGCAATTCGCTCTCGCCCTACAAAATGAACAGAGAAAGGCGAAAAGGGAGATCAGGCGCCTTACAATTGTTGTATCGGAAGCAAAAAGTAAGCAAAAACAAGACGAAGGGACCGATGAAAAAATAAAACAGATCCGCTCACTCCCACAAGAGACAGCAGCTAAATGCTTTTTTTGGCGCTCAAAAGTGCTCTAAAAAAAAAAAAAAACCCCGGCGGCTCGCAAGAAAAAAAAAAAAAAAACGCTCGTAAGAAAAAAACGAACAAAAAAACGGGTCGGTGCATAGGTTTACTATGCTGCATAAATTTCTGTAAAACTGCGGCCACAGCGGAAAAAACGTCCAGGTTGCGCACCTGACATCGTCCTGCCGCATGGCGATGTCGTGTGCACTAGAAGCGAATATCTGTGGTTTGGAGCCCGGTAGAAGAAAATGTGCAGCCCCCCGTGCCGCCATCTCCGAAGCGCATATGCAAAACTGCGTGCGCGTGCAATTGCTTTTTTTTTTTTTCTTACGTTTTACCGATTTGAGGGAGAGAGTCGCGTGTGCTGCCCGTGCCGCAGTGCACGTGAGCTCGGCCCCTCGGCCGCCGCCCAGAGCCATGAGTGAAGATTGCGGAATCACGACTGCATAAGCAGCGTTTCAATCAGACAAGAGTGCGTCGCGTTGAAGCGAGCAAACGAGCAAGCCGGCAGATAAGGACGCGCGTGCATACTGAGCGATTCTCGGCAGCAGGCGGGCGCGCCGTCAGGGAGCGCTACGGTGTTATCTGTGTGACGTCACTTGCGTGACCAAGTTTTCGTGACATAGACCTCCCAACTTTGCACCCCCTTCCAAGCGCGGAGAAGGGCGTAATTCTGCGTCAAAAAAGAAATGCCGAACTTAAAAGAACATCTACGTGTTGTCGGCGATGTGTTGTTTAGGCGGCAGCAGGCGGCAAAATTCGAAGGAGCAACCTGACACGACCTAGAAAGCGAAGAAGCTTCAGCGGCCGAAGACCGCTGAGTCAAGAGTTGCATGGCCGCCGGGTTTCCTGCCGAGCGCCAGCCTGTCTCCACGGTAGCTTTCTGCTTGGATGTTGTCGATACATTACGAGAAGGTGATGAGGAGGGCAAGAGGGTCCTTTGATTTCGTTTTTTGTTAGGGGAGAGCCAAACCACCATCAAGCAAGTCTCGTGTTTCTTTCTTTTTGTTTTGTTTAAAAAATTCTTATTTTCTGTATATCTGTCTTCAATACTCTCACTGTCTTCGTTCCCTTCTGCTTCGACATGCGAGAAACGAAGGATTAAGGTGGGACTTTGCATGTTAATACTGTTCTAGCAGTACCCCGAACAAAACGATAGTAATTGCTACTTTAGTAAAAAGAAAACTGCACAAGATTGATTTTTTTTTTCTATTTTCCATTGCGATGACAGCGAAGCACCAGCGCAACAGTTTCATAGCCGTTTACATTGGGGGAGTGCGGCAGTCTTTCAGAGAAGCCGACAACGAGCCTAAGTATACCAAAAGTTTGGCCACCGGAAAATGGCGTTTGCTCCGCCATCTTGTGTAGCTGAGGCATAACAAATCCCCATGACCGTCTCTCGATAAAATAACACGCCATGATGTTTTATCACGAAATCGGTTGGTCTCTTAGGCTCCGCCCACTGGCGAACCTTTCCCAGTGAGGGAGGGCACGACACCGCCACGGGAACAATGTACTTACGCCTCCTCTTTGTACAGGTGGTCCTGCTCGCTGCCGCCCATCACATCGGTGCGCTCGGAACCAGCGCCGCAAGTTTGACGAAGATTGCCACGGACCACTACGGGCTACCAGTGCTGACGCTGCTATCTGCTGAGACTGGCAGACTAATGACGCTGCAACCCACGCTCATCGAGAACCTTTGCAGCAACTGGCAACAACAAACGGTAACGTCAAGCCAAGTACTACAAAAGCATGAAGCACCACTCGGCATATCAGAGAGAGTTCAGCGCTCGTGGCTACCGGTTCGCACGGTTTTCTCGGGACGTAAAATTCTTTCTTTCTAGTCCAGTGGGTGGGGGTATATTCGGAAAGTGGATAGGAAGTTCGTAGGCTTTCGCCACAGTGGGCGGCACCACCCCGTACGGGGGACAGCAGCCTGTACAGCGGGTTCCGGCCTCCCAAACGATGTCCCACGCCAGCCAACTTCCGGACGGAGGAGTGACTACCACGCCAGCAAAGCGACACCTGAGTGAGAGCAGCTCCGGCGAGTTCGCACACACAACATCAATGCTACAAGACGACGAAGGGGCCATGGACGGCAGCGTTCTCGGAAGCAAGGAGGACGGCGACTTCACAACAGTCATCAGAAAGAAAAAGAGAACTCGACACGAAGGATCTCAACGGAGCCAAGGTATCGTGAGACTTCCTAATACGGCACGCACCGTTCTGTTCGCGCCAACCGTTCCCGCCACGAATCTGAGGAAAATCAACCGCCAGCTGCTGTCGGACGAACTGGAGGCACTGGATCCCGGTCAGTTTAGCGAGGTACGAGTAAACACACGGAAAAACATAATAGCCACGGATGCGAGGACGGAGGCGGGGGTGCTAGAGCTCCTCATTCTGACCAAAATATGCGGGGTGCCTGTCCGAGCTTTTCTCCCTCGCTCGAAGAACTCGCGAGTAGGGGTAATTTCGGACGTCGACACCGATATCACCGAAGACAGGCTGAGTAAGATAATTGGCAGCGGAGTGAGCGTCGAGCAAGTTAGGCGGCTAGGCAAAACGCAAGCAGTCAAGGTTGTGTTTGAGGGTGACACGCTTCCTGCCCACGTCAAGACTAGATTAGTAAGGCACAGCGTTAGGCCCTTCGTCCAGCGTCCTCTACAGTGCCGACAGTGCTTTCGCATCGGACACGTAGTGGCAACCTGTCCTAACAGCGCCATTTGTCCCAAATGCGCACAGGTTCATGGTGAAGAAAACTGCACTTCAGCACAGAAGTACGTAAACTGTCAGCAAGCGCACGAGGCAACCTCGTCGGAGTGCCCAAAGCTCCAAAAGGAGAAGGAGACCTGCAAGGTCAAGGTGCTAGAGAATATCACGTTCCTGGAAGCGGCCAAGGTAGTCGAGGAACAGCGAAAAATCAAAAGGCGCAACAATCAACATGTAGAGAAACCCGAAGCGGGCACCTCGCAGCCTAAAAGCCAGACCACCGGGCAAGAAGTGGACTCTGGGGCACAAGGCAGTTCTAGTCCGGCAGGGGCAGCAAAGGCCGATAACCCACACAACGGTGGCAGGGACAACCATGCGAGGAGTCTCACCTATCGCGATGTCACTCAGGGCACCCCCCCCCCCCCCCCCCCCCCCCAAATCCGGCGGCGGACAGAAAGAAGCCACGTTACCATCCCGAGACACAGGGGATACTGCCAAAGCAAGGGACGTCAGTTCCAGAGTCCGCTGAGCGGTCTACCGCGAGCAAATGTATCAGCTTGGTGTTCAACATAGTGTGCCGGCTCCTCGAGCTGCTGCCGCCATCGGAGTTCCGCACAACACTGAACAGTCTTCTCTTCCTGGAGGGCCTCCTTGGGGCTGTCCTCTAGATGGACAGCACATAGAAGCAAGCAAGGCACGGGATGGCAGCGCAAACCCCCAGAGGAAACACAATCACTCGAACGGCACCGACCGTCCTACAGTGGAATGCCAGAGGCCTCAACGCCAAGCACAGTGAGGTTAGCCTGCATCTGCAAAGCAACCCAAGCCCGGTGCTGGCATTGACGGAAGCGGGACTGCCGGGCAAAAGATCGCTACCTGGATACTTTAGACTAACGACACAGGCAATACCAGGATTTCCACTTGGAAGCGCGGTATTATTTATACGGAGGGAAATACCGCATGTACAACTCGATACCAGCCAACTTTGCACGACCTCAGCAGAGTTCGTGGGAGCCAGGACGAGCATCGGGAACCGAACGTTCGCCATTCTTCTGGGATATGTACGACCGAATGGCACAGACCTGCCGAGCGAGGAAATTCTGGCATGGTGTAAGGACCGAACAGAGGAGTTGCTTATATGCGGCGACTTCAACGCACATAATGTGGCTTGGGGAAGTGCTCGAACAGACAAGAGGGGGGAGGCCCTTATGACAGTAATAGAGCAGATGGGACTTGCGGTGGCGAATGGTGGATACCCTTTTGATGGTGGCCACTCTGTTGATACCCTTCTGCAGTGGTGCCTACCCTCCGACTGAGCCCCCCTCCAGCGGGACGAGCCTTAAGTAGGCCCGGCCCCCTGGCGACGGAACCCTCTCGACCCACGGAGAAGTGTGCGGTTGAGCCGAGAGGGAACGTCGGCGGGGTTCTCAGTCGTGAGCAGCCAGCGCAGCCAAGATTGTTTATTTGACAACAAAAGAGTGGCCGCAAGGGCCTCGAAAGGAGACAAAGTGCGCCCATGGCCCCTGGTCAGGGCATACACAATTGCGGCATTGTCACAGTACACAAGGGTCCGAGGTGGTGAACATAGTAGAGCGAAGAGCACGGCATAAAGTTCACGTTTGTAAATGCCAGAAGGAGTGGGGCAGATGATTGCGATGTTCCCTTTGGTGGAGCAGATGCCCAGTCCGGTAAGACTTGCATCGGAGAAGGCGGTATGCTGCACCGTTGGGGGGACGAACGGGACTGAAGCGGGCAGCATGCCCAGGACGAAAGAAAAAAGTTACACCCATTCTCTTGGTGGGGGGGTGCCCGTCGCCGCAGCACGGTAAAGAGGCCTGATCGCGTGGAAGTGCGCCTGGTAGAGGGAGAAGTAAAATCCCCATAGTCCAGCCAGTCTTTGGTAGGTGGGTATGGTCCGGGGCACATCCAGGATCTTGAGGGTCGCGAGGAGGTCTCTGCACCGGGCGGGAGTGTGTCCGATGGTTTGGGTATTCCCGTCGACCAGGAAGCCGAGGAACCGAATGCGTCGTGTGGGGATGAACTGGGAGTCATCCGGGTTGATCCTAAAGCCGCAGGCTAGTAGGTCTTGGACGAAGGCATCGGTCGCCGACTTGAGGTAGAGGGGGTCGCCATGGGCGAAGAGGATGTTGTCAATGTGGGACCACGCCCACAGTCCCCTCGCTCGGGCTTCTCGGGTTAAGGCCGTGGCCAAGTGTTGCATCAGGAATGGTGCGATGCGTATGCCAAACGGCAGTACGGTATAGCGATAGTAGGCACCATCCAACCGAAAACAAGTAATGGGTCGGGTTCGTTCGTGCAGCGTAAAATGATAAAATGCATCTTTTAGATCCACTTTTGTGAAGTAGGGAGACGTCGGAAGCGGACACTGGGTGAGCACCCTCGGGAGCGGTGGTAAACTAAAGGAGGGTGCTGGGAGATGCGGGGTCAGATGTGAACAATCGAGGACAAATCTTGACAAGGTCGGGGACTTCGGAACCACTTGTATGGGTGACAAGAATGGTCCTCTTTTAGTCTCTTCTATGATTCCCGCGCGGGCCATCGACGAAACGGCTTCGCGAAGTACGGGAAGCTGGGTAGGCGGTGGCTGTCGTGCATTGAAAACAGAGTTTCGGCGCGGTCGGATGACTAGGGCGGCGGGATCATAGGGTGGATGGTATCCGAAGATTCGACTTACAAGGTCCCAGTTGGCTGTAGGGGGAGGTAGACTGGGTCGTACCGGAGGATGGGGCGGTCCAGCGGCTAGGAAGGCAGGTCGGCGGCTGTCACTTTCTTCCTCGTTGTCGTGGTCGTCGGGGGGAGGAAACAGTTCGTGCACCTCCAACCATCGCAAGATGCGAATGGCAGCGTCTTCAAGACTGTCGTTTTCAGGGGTTGCTTCAGTTTCGGAGGTGTCGGAGGAAGTCTCCATATTCTCGTTGTCCGGGGAGGTGGCCTCGGACGGGGTTGTTTCCTCTGACGTGGGGTCCCTGGGAAGGCCAGGTAGATCCACAGGTTGGGTGTGGCTAGGGATTCCAGACTCCCGGATGGCCTGTGCTAGCAGGTCTTCAGGTAAGATGATGTCCTGGAGGAGGGCGAGCGTAGGGACACCGTTGACCACAGCTAGCACTGTTTGGGCTTGGCCCAAAATAAGTTCAAGTGGAGCGGGAACTGCGGTAGCGGCATCGAAATGGTCCAAGAGTTCCAGACACTCGGGTGGCACATGGGCACTGGGGGGAAGGGGGACCGGGAGCATGGTGGTCACAGAGGCACTCACAGCTTCATCGGGAAGGCCTTGGGAGAAGCTGTCGTAGATAAGTGCAGGGAGGCTTGTTGGGGAAGGCCCGGTGGTTGCCTCTTGGGCAGGGTGTGCCTGGGCGTCGCGTAGTGCCAGGGGAAGGCCCTGGGGTGGCTGTGCCTCGGCGGTTGCACTGGGGTCTACGGCGGAAGTCGCGGTAGTCCCTCGGTGCGGCGGGCTACTTTTTCGGTTTCTTGGGGGACTTGGGGGGCCTTTGACTACGGGTAGTTGGCCGGTTCGTCCTGGTGGGGCTGGTAGTCCACTCTGGTGAGCTGGCCCTTGCCTGGTGGGGTCGCCTGGCGGGGACTGGTGGGCCGAGAAGGAGGGAAGCACTTGGATCGGCGTAGCCGTCAAGTGCGGCTCCCCAACCGGACTGGGCGACATGGTAGAGTAATCTAACTCGGTCAAATATCTTGAGTTTGTCTCGGTTGGGGAGCCCGGTCCAGCGGCAATCCCATACCTGTACAAAGCACTCCAGTAACTGGAGTTCCGTGATCTCTCGTTTTCCGATATGTGGAGAGTGGCGGGCGGCATGTTGGACATGTATAAATGCCTCTGCGATGTCCGTCTTTGTGGGTGGGTCCTGAGCGGTGAGGATGCGTTGTCTTCCTGCCACCTGGATGTTGTAGGGCTGGTTTGGTGGGTAGTCGTATGGCGCAAAAAACCTCCCGGTGTCGGAGGCGGCGATCCCAAAGGGCTGCTGCTGGTATCGGGGGTCTGGGCCGGTGACAGCGGCCGCGTTGTGCCCGCCCACGCGGCTGTAGCTGGGGCTTCTCGAGAGGGTTCCGTCGCCAGGGGCCGGAACCCTCTCGCGCGAGGCAGGGACGGCCGACGTTCTTCAGGCTTCCGAACTCGTACAGTGTTCTTGACGTGACAGCGCACTCGCCATCCCTGTAGATGAAGTGGGAGCTAGCCCCGGACACACGGGGAAGTGATCACTTCCCCATCCACATCACCATCAAGGGGTGTCAGGGGGCAAGGAAAGTCTTGCGTACGTGCACAAACTGGGACGTCTTTCGAGCAGCGCTGGATTTGAGCCAAGAAGAAATTCCAGCAGCTATAATTCAAGCGTTACAGATGGCCACACGCACTACTTTCGTCACAAAATGGCTCCCAAAGCCGGACCTCACATTTTTAAACCTTCAAGCGGCACGAACCAGGACGCAGAGGAGGTGCCGCCGGACGGGAGAGCCCGAGGACAAGATCAATTTCAACAGGGTTTCGGCCAAGCTGCGAAGACACGCAAAGGTGCTGGTCAGGAATCGACGGAAACTCATGTGCAAGAATGCCAACGCACACTCGTCCATGACTAAGCTGTGGACCGTCCTATGGACAATGACTGGGAAAAGCCGTTCAAGACATACCTTGCAGGTCTTAGCGCTGGCGGCCAACGAAACACCAGAAGCAGCAGCGGAGTGCCTGTGCGCCCTGTACGCCCCGGCAGAGGCGGCGGGAAGACCTGGGGTACCAAACACCGCGTCATGACCTCTGGATGCCCAGTTTACAGTCCAAGAGCTTCAGAGTGCCCTTCGCAGATGTCGGAAGAAGAGTGCAGCCGGACCCGACGGAGTCCCGTACCAGGCACTCACGAACCTCACCGAAGAGGCCCAAGATGCCCTGGTCAAACGGTTCAACGCTATATGGAACTCCGAAGACGTCCCAAACGAGTGGAAAGAAGCAATGGTGGTGCCTTTGCTCAAGGCAGGGAAACCGCCAGGAAAGGCGGAGTCATACCGCCCAGTTTCACTAGCCTCGTGCATAAGCAAGTTATTCGAGAGGATGGTGCAAGCTCGGATATGCTGGTACCTGGAAGAACATCACTGTCTCCCGAACTGCATGATCGGTTTTAAGAGAGGGCTGGCAGCCCAAGACAGTATCCTGGACCTAACAAGTGATATTGAGGACAACAACCCTATTGAAAATTCCATCAAGGTACGTAATTTGGGACACTGACTGCCAGTCAGCAGCCTTGCTCGAACGTGATGGACCATCAGACGTCATCTGATGGTCCATCAGATGACGTCTGACTGCCACTGCCAAGGGAATTTCATCAACAAGGGCAGCATTTATATAAGAGTAAAGCTATACGCACTCATAAATATCGCCAAATGCATCGATAAAACAAAATGTTCGAGAAAAAAAAAAAAAAAAAAAGGACTACCGCGGATCGAACCCGCTACCACTTGCGTACAAATCGGACACCTTAACCCCTATGCTACGCCGTTGCTTAGAAAACACGATTTCACCTTTCGTATTATACGAGATGCTTCGGTCGCAAATGCAGTTAAGACTTCAGCATGTTATGCAAAGCACTCGTACATCACTCGCCGTACTTCAGTTCTACTCACCTGCCATGTAGAGTACTTTTGCGCCGTAGAACGATCCTTTTGTTCGCGCGTCTCCGGCCCAGTAGACCTGGTACACCTTGTCGTCTTCAACTACACCGCTAAAGTCCCTTACATCGTCGGAACTCATAACAGGTGGGTCTTGTCGAGTAGAAATTCTACTAAAACATAAATCACTGTAGAGCCCGGGCAGGATCGACAGGTTGGAGCAAGCGGGCAAACAAAACGAGTCGAGAGCGATCGTTCAAGAAAGCTCGGCAAAGCCTCTATGGGCGAAGCGAAGTGGCGTTTTCGGCGTTTCGGCGGGCTTCTGATCAAGGTTGTCGGTCGACTGCGTGTCATATCTCTAACATCCGCGGTTTTATGGGCTCACGTCCCGAAATCGTTTTCTTGTGCATAGACTATTTTTCGTATTCATAGATTTGACGAAATAGGGGTATCTGAACGAACTTTACGTCCTTTGACCGTACGTCTGTCTGCACGTCAAAGCTTTCTGACGTACAGTCAGAGCCAATCGATGTACAATCAGAATCGCCACCAAGACACCTTGATGGCATTTCGCGGCGGCCGACTGACACCAGGAAACCATCAGAAAGCGGACAAGTGGAGTCTGACTGGAGTGTGACTGTCGGTCAGAGTAACTTGTTGTTCAATCAGACAAGTTTGACGTACAGTCAGGCACAGTCAGCGGTCCACTAGAAAACATTGACTGCCAAACAGGGTTACATTGATGGATTTTTCCTCCGGGAAGAACAGGCGGAGGAACACGATTGCGGTGTTCTTGGACGTGGAACGAGCTTACGACAGCGTGCCGCTCCCTACAGTCCTTAAGAGAATGACCGCGATTGGCCTGACCGGTAAAATTCAAAAGTTCCTGGCAAATTTCTAAACCGGGCGAAAAATTCAGATCAGGTCCGAAGGTACAGTGTCCTCGCCAAGGGTGCTGCACAGAGGGTTGCCACAGGGAAGCGTGTTGAGCCCGGTGCTCTTTAACATCGTGATGGCTACACTACCGAACGCCATCCCACCAACCGCACTCCCGGTACAAGTGTCTATCTATGCAGACGATCTGTGCCTCTGGGTGGCAGGAATATACACAACACAGATACACCGGAGCATACAAGACGCCACGCAAGCAGTAGACGAGTTTTGGGCTGAATCGGGGTTGTCCCTGTCAAAGAGCAAGACCGTCTGGATGCCGGTACGGGGGAATGGAAGAAGGTTTCAGCCGCCAGGCATCGTGTTAGCGGGGGAGAACGTCACAAAGGTCACCAAGGAGAGGTTCCTGGGAATCGTCATCCCAAGCAGGTTGAGATGGGCACAAGCTGTAAAAGCGACATCGGAAACATGCAGGCCTGCCATGAATGCTGTTCGCCGTATGACTGGAACCACGTGGGGATGCACGGAGCGGACCATCACAGCTGCCCACACGGCGCTTGTAACGTCAAGGGTACTGTATAGACTCCCATACATGGCCCCATCTCGGACGGACCTGGAGAGGATGGAACAGCGACATCGGCATGGACTACGAACAGCACTGGGGATTCCCAGCGCTGCCAGGAACGGCGCGGTCCTTCTGGAGGCGGGGACAGAGTCGCTCGCAAGACAGGCCGAAGGAAGGAGACTTCACCAGCTGGCGCGATTATCCATGACCCACCCGGGCAGATGGTTCCTACATCGAGTCCAGGCCCGGATAAAATCGCTATGGAGCGAGGTGGTAGAAGAGTTCCACAATGTCACGGACCCACTACCGACGAGGACGGACGAAGCAAGGATGGCTCCATGGGACGTAATCAAGGTGTCCAGTGACGTGCGAATCAAGCACCTGCGTTCCAAGAAAGATAGGCCAGACATCGCTATCAGAGCAGCAGTTGAAGCACACTTGAAAGAACACCATAGGGGAAAGCTTCGAATATACACGGACGGGTCCGTAAACAAAGCAAGAACCTCCAGCACTGCGGCCTATTGCATACCAGAGAAAGGCTGGAAGTGGGCGGGAGACTTCAAGCGCCCACATCCTCCACGGTGGCCGAACTGGTTGCCATCGATAAAGCCCTCTAAGCGGCCACCCTGTTGCCACCACAGGGAATGGTGGTGCTCACCGACTCGAGATGCGCCCTTCAGAAGATTGCGAATGCAGAGTGCGGGGACCCAGCAACGACCGCCGTAAGAAAGTCACTAGCATCGTTGGAAGCACGCGGATCCACAGCGTGGCTCCAGTGGATTCCAGGGCATGCGGGGATCGAAGGGAATGAACAGGCAAATAGGCTGGCCGTAGCTGCTCACTTGGAAATCCCGGCTGTCCCGTCTCCGGCAAATCCGCAACAGGCTGCACTTGACGTCCGCTGGCACCTTCTAAATGCGAGTAACGAGCCGGTGCTGCCAGAAGGAGCCCTGTCTGGATTGTCACGGGCGGCAGAGACCCTGGTGCGACGCCTGCGCACAAACACGGCCAACACGAAGGCTTTTCTGGTCAAGATGGGAAAACGGCGGATGACAGAATGCTCGCAATGCGACGAGGAAGAGACTGTGCACCACATTCTCCGCGTCTGCCCGGCATACGAAGCTCAACGAACTGTGCTGTATGAACAAATCGGCATGGATAATCCGGGAGCAACAGTCGATATCCTCTTCCCAGATGTACCTCGAAGGAAGTGCCAGAAAGTGTTCAAGGCGGTGCTGCGCTTCCTGCGGGACATTGGCTTGATGGACCGACTGTAGTTCTATCTAAAACATAACAAAAGAATGTTTTTTTTTAACAGCTCTTTAAGAGCTTGTCACCTGCCCATGTCAGCTAATTGGGGCTAGGCTAACGTAGGTGACGTAAAACCTAAACGGCGCACCATCACCACCACCTCGGCATATCAGGACACGACACCGCCACGGGAACAATGTACTCACGCCTCCTTTTTGTACAGGTAAGTTACTTGAACCATTCTTTGTGCATCAGGAGTAGTAATCGTTTCTTAATACTGGTGTCGTGCCCAAACGACTTTGCTGTGACGCGGAATTGCATGTCTATCTATGTTCAAGCTTGCACCAATATCTTCGTGTCACACTTGCTGTTGCTGCTCTCCGGTGATGTGGAGTAGAATTCCGGTCCCCTTACTACAGCCCAGGCTGACTTACTGACTCCAATCAACGCGACTGTAACCCAGTTACAGGCGGGACAGACAGACCGGGCGAGACAAATAGGGGCACTCACTGAAAATCAAAAGCGTACTCGCCAGTTAGTTTGCGACCTGAACGCACGAGTGAGCGCCATTAAAGAACATTTGCCAATTCCCCTGAGTGACCAGTACACCGCCCGAAAAACTGAGTCCGAGCTGCAAGCAGCCCAAACAGAGCTCGCGCTTTTAAAGGCGCGTTTTGTCGACAACGAGAACCGGTCACGCAGGTCGAACTTAGTCTTTTTTGGATTTCAAGACAAAGCGAAGGAAACATGGTCTGAATCTGAGTCACTCGTGGTCAACCTGTGCGCGGGTAGACTAAACATAGCATACAACCCTGATAACATAGGAAAAGCACACCGTATCGGTCCTTTTAAAACTGGAAAAAAACAGGCCAATCATTGCAAAAATTCTGCTTTTTTAAGCAAAAAGATGCAATATTAACTGCAGGTATAAAACTTAAAGATACTGGATTTGTGGTCAGCGAGGATTTTCCTCGACCTGTGCAGTTGGCCCGTCGTAAACTATTGGAATTTGCTAGAACACAAAACACTCGTTATAAACTGCGCGTAGACAAATTGTACATTAATGAAAAGTGCTTTAGTTTTGATGATGTGTCAGACAGTGTTGTTGAAATAAAGAGATACCAACCCGGAAGCACCGCTGTCCGGTCACCACGTGCACGTCAAATTGAATCCAGTGCACATCCTCATCGTAACCATTCTATTGTAAAGCTTTCCAACATACCCCTGTCCTTCCTTTATACCAATATAAGAAGTATTATGTCAAAGCAAGACGAGATATGCAGCCTCATAGCATCTGCTGATTCTGACGTCATAGTTCTCACTGAAACATGGCTGTCATCATCAATCACTAATATCAAAATTTTCCTCGACGTATCTACTTATAACATATTTCGACGGGATAGGACATGTGGCCGAGGGGGTGGGGTCCTGATCGCAATAAAAGATAGTTTCGTATGCAAACTTGTGGATATTTCCTCGCCACTCGAAATGTTTTGGCTCTCCTGTTCATCTTTGCATGCTACATTTCTTATTGGTGTATGCTACCGACCACCTCACAAGGATCCAACTTTTCTTATTCATCTGAAGGATGCACTCGGTGTTTTGTGCCTCAGACATCCCCTGTCCAGCATTCTGCTTTTCTGTGATTTTAACTACCCCTCAATAAACTGGTCGGCCCTAACTGTTTGAACTCCCCTTGATAAGAGTGAAGCAACGGAATTAATTAATATCTGCTTTAATTTCAATCTTTCGCAAGTTATAACTGAACCCACGCGACCAGCTTCCCATTCTTCTAATATTCCTGACCTCATTCTTTGTTTAAAGCTTGAGACCTTGAAATCGATCAACTACTTGCGCGAAATAAGTGACCATAAAGTAATTCACTGTACTTTTTCTTTGCATCTCCAGTCTAAATCCAAGCGACTTAAAACCGTATCACTACACGATAAAGGGGATTCCCGAAGTATGAATGCTGAACTAGAAACATTTTTATTTTCCTTTCTGGTTGACTTTGACGTTCGCTCTGTTTCTGATAATTGGTTTCTTTTCAAACAAAAAATGCAAGAAGTTGCGGCCATGTTCATTCCAACTGTCACTTTTTGGGAAAACTCGTCTGCTTTTTGGTTTAACTGTTCTTTAAAACGCCTAAATTAAAAAAATGACTGTTTCGAACGGCTAAGTCTACTGGGTGCAGCTTAAGCTGGGACAAATCTTATTCCGTCGATAGGCAGTACAGAATTGAAATTAAACAGCAAAAACAATCATTTTATAACATCGATCTTGCGTGTATGCTCAAAAATGATTTTAAAAAGTTCTGGAAAGTTATTAACCCTAAATCTGATACTGCAATTACACTTAAAAATAACGGTGACACATTGGTTCAGGATAACAAATGTGCCGAATTACTGAATGATGCTTTTTGTTCCATATTTACGCAAGAAAATAGCGAAGCCTTTTTTTATCCTCTTTCCGCTATTCCTACACCCATGTCTGATTTTGTGTTTAAACCCGCAGGCATCGCTAAACTCAATGACAACCTTAAAATCTCTTCATCAGCAGGCGTGGATAACGTAAATGCAAAAATTCTAAAAAAACACGAAAGATTTGGTGAGCGTGATATTAGCTAAAATATTTTCGCAATCTCTTTCAAGTAGTCTTCTGCCTGATGACTGGAAAGTGGCAAAGATTGCCCCGATTTTCAAAAATGGTGACAAATACTCCCCATTTAACTATCGGCCCATCTCCCTAACAAGCGTATCGTGCAAACTAATGGAGCATATCATCTACACTAACATCAATCAATTTCTGTCGGACAACTGTTTCATCAACCCATCCCAGCACGGCTTCCGAAAATATTTTTCATGTGAAACTCAACTTGCATCATTTGCTCATGACATACATGTTAACCTTGATTCAAACATTCAAACTGACGCTACCTTCCTGGACTTTGCCAAAGCATTTGATAAGGTTCCTCATAGACGACTGATATACAAGCTTTCTAAACTCAACTTGGATTCCTCGATTCTGAACTGGATCATTAACTTTTTAACTAGCAGACAGCTACTTGTTACCGCTAACCAGTCATCATCTTCTTTTGCTCCAGTCATTTCCGGTGTTCCTCAAGGATCGGTCCTCGGACCCCTTCTATTTTTAATTTACATTAATGACATGTCTATATCAATAACATCGCGTGTTCGTCTTTTCGCTGACGACTGTGTCATCTGTCGCCAAGTGACTAACCCATCAGATTACCCACTCATCCAAGATGACCTCAACCGCATCCAATCATGGTGCAATACATGGCAGATGCGTTTTAACGTCCATAAGTGCAAGTTTGTGTCTTTTACACGTCGCTCTAAACCCTCTATCTTTTCCTATTCCCTTAACAGCGTTCCTTTGGAGAAAAAAACAAAACAAAAAAAAAACAGCTAATTCCTACAAGTATCTCGGAGTTCATCTTACATTCGGTCTTTCCTGGGCTACTCATATCGGTCACTCCATATCCTCTGCTATTCGCTCTCTAGGTTTTTTGAGGCGCAACTTGAAACTGGCCCCTCCTCACATAAAACAGCTTGCCTACTCATCTCTTATCCGCCCTAAACTGGAATACGCATCTGCTATCTGGGATTTTCACCAAGCCTACCTCATCAATAACATCGAATCAGTTCAGCGTCGAGCATTACGTTTTATTTCCTCAGATTATTCTTCTTTTACTAGCGTCACATCTGTTCGAACCCGTGCCAACCTCCCCCTCCTCTCTAATCGCCGCCGTTTGGCTAGGTTATCTCTTTTTCCCACATTTTTTTACAGCCCGTGCCTCCGATTATCATACATCGTTCTTTCTGTACGCCGAAACCGTCGCACGGGTCACAATCTCGATATACTGCGACCAAAGGTCAAGAACCACCACATTTCAGAACTCATTTTTTTCACGTACAGCCTCTGATTGGAGCGGGCTCTCCCAGAACATTGTAACTACTAATGACTCTTAGAATTTAAAGAATTAATACGTGCAATCGCGTTCTAGGTACATTTGGTGTTTTTTTGTTTTTTTTGCATATTATTTTTTTAACGATTTTTGTTTTATTTTATATGCATAATTTGCTTTTGTGACATTTGTACCCTTTCGTTGATGTTTATTGCCACCCCTTATGTAATATTCCCTATGGGGATCCTTAAGATATATAAATAAATAAATATTTTAAAGTATAAATGACCCTGAACAATTAGCTCAATGAGAGCCACGTCCGGCTCGTCGTTTAATATTTATGCTCACTCTTTACCCCTCTTCTATATACTTCTGTCACGTCAGAAAGTACCACGAGCCGCCTTACCACCCGCCAAAGAGCCGAGCATTCCACCAAAGTTGAGCAGACCGCCAAACCAGTCACTCTGGCTGTCCGACAGACCCATGCGCTGGCGGATGCTGGGTAGTGCCGGAGACGAGTAGCCCACGGACATGCTGAACGACAGCGTGGCCATCGCGGACGCTGACACGGCCAGAATAAGCTGACGCCGGCCCGCCCTCTTGGCCGCGTCCGCTGCCGACAAGTCCTCACAGGGGCTGCCGGTGGAGATGCTCAAGTGGTGAACGGTGCTGCACCACCGCTCTTCGTGCTCTATAAGTGGGGACCTTTCCGTCATGATGTCTGCATTCGCTCGAAGACAGGAGGACGTCTGGAAGATAGAGAACAAAGAATGCAGTTAAACGGACGCATGTCATTGTACCAAATCACACAGTCTAAGACGAGTCTTTTAGCGACGTTTCGATAACGGATTTAGCTTTTTAAAGGTTGTCAAGAAGTTGCTTAGCGAAATGTTAACTGCTAATCTAAGCTTTTTTTTTTTTTCATTAAGCTGGAGATTATTTATGTGTTTTGTTTGGAATGTTCGAGACGAGGAACGAGTACCAACATGAGCTGACCCAAACCCTGATTGAAGCAGAGCTAACTTATTCGATAACGGGGCGCTAGAATGGTAAATGAATTAAAGCAAGGCGCCTTTTTTATATTTAGACAAAAAAAAACTTGTGAAATAGTTTTTTTTTTGTGTACGGAGTTAGCTCATTGTCTCGATTCTGCCGGCTAAAAAATTATTCGCTCCCAGTTCCCCGAGGTATGGATAAGCGAACGTACATGTTAATAAGGAGTTTTCCTATGCCGTTTCTGCAAGTCCGACAACGCTCTGCGTAATCCGCTACGAGATCCGCAACTTTGCAGACAACGCTAACGGCGCACATACGTACTCTAGCGGCCGCTCCGTCGTGAAAGCGTAGCGAATGGAGAAAAATGGTCTACGAAGATCCCTTATTAATAATCTTGAGGGCGTGAAACCAGAAGTGTTTCAGTTAACCAGTTTCTGTTTTCGGTAACCAATAAACAGCTTTGTTACTTTCCGCGAACGAAAGCGCGTAGCGTTTAATTTATTTACGACTATAGTAGCATCCCAAGCAGCACATAAACGTGAAGAAAACGTCGAAAGAACGTCGAAGACGTCTGTAACGTGCCGTCGTAAAACGTCGAAGGTCCGGACGTTACCTTCCTTCGACGTCGATGAAACCTTTAAATGTGCGCGAGAAAAGGTGCAGAGGAGGTCGAGGGGACGTTCCAAATGACGTTTGTTGCACGCAGACTTGTACCGTACGCATTACAAGTAATCAAATTACTTGTAATCGATTACTTTTTGGAGTAATTTTGTAATCAGTTGATTACTTTTATTAGGCAGTAATCAGAAGAGTAATCTGATTACTTTTTGAAGTAATAAAATTACTTGTAACCGTTACAATTTGTGCATGGGACCCCCCCCCCCCCCCTCCCCCCCCCCCCTACCCCGGGCACACGCCTTTTTTTTATAAAATGACAAAAATAAAATGTGCTTTTTTTTTTGAACGGAAAAAATAAAGATTTTTGCGGAGCTGTAGAAAACGACGTCAACCTCTTTCTATGTACATTTCTGTGGAATGTCCGTTTTTTTTTTTTTTGGTTTTGGTTTTTTTCGAGCTGGGACTGGGAGTGGGAAGCCACAGTGCCTGACAAAGGCCATTTAGGACGAAGTTTGAGGAAGCAGAATGTAGCTTTGTGAGTCCTTCGTTCAAACTAGCCCCCTCATGCACACACACACAGAAATAAAAAATAAAAAAAAATCCTGCTTAGGGTACCTACTCGCAGCCCGTAGGAGAACCAGAACCGAAGAATGCTTAAAGCGGATGCAAAATATAACAAAGCAGTTGAAATATTACCCCATTTCCCCTACGTGGTCTTTGTGACAAGCGATGTTTCGAGTTGAGAAGTGGTCGGGGCGATCTCTTCCGCTAATGGATACTACACATGATCCGTTTCAAATCCTGGAGCTGCTGCACTTTTGTATAACATGCGAGCTAATCCACATGTGAATAATAATATGAGTGACGGAAATTTTGAGCGACAACCTTAGCTCAAGCTGAACAAGATCTAGAACCCCCTCCGCTCCCCCCCCCCCCCCCCTTTTCAGACACACGCACACACACTGGCGAACGCCCAAATCATTAAATGTCTTCAAACAAATTCTATGCTTGTGTCCGCATTGTGAAGGTGCAACGACCACGAAGAGGGAGCCAGTTTTTCTTCTTCAATACTTGTGCAAATGTGAAATATAGGTTGGAAGTAATTCATTGTTATGAGCGCTAAAGGTGTGTCTTCACACAATAAAGTAATCGGAAAAGTAACGATTACTTCTTTAAGTAATGTCCGATTACTTTTGCCGTCGAGTAATCAAGTAATCTAATCGAATACTTTTTAGCCAAGAGTAATAGTAATTGTAATCGATTACTTTTTTTAGTAACGTGTACAAGACTGGTTGCACGTCACATGCACGTCTCAGTGGGCCGTTGCGTCCTCCCTCGACGTTTATGATACGTGTGTTTACGACATCCGGACTACCAACGACGTTCACAGAACGTCGAGAAACCTTTCCAAATTACGTTTCCTAGCCGTCGTGGGAAAACGTTGTGTCTCCCCCCCCCCCCTCCCCCCCCCCCCCCTAAAAAAAAAGTATTTTTTTAGTATTATTGCGAAGGCAAGTTTCTATCATGCAAGTACGAAGGAAGCAACTAAAACACAGGTTTGGTACGAACTGTTTATTTGAGCATGTTCAGACACGAGATGCAATACGGAGCGCCTCCAAAAGACGTCCCTGGATGTGCCAGCCTCAAAGATATAAAAGAACAAATTCACGTAAATAAATGAGCAAGAGACGATGTCACGCGGCGTGGAATGTTCCACCGCTTACCTCGTTCTGCTTCTGATTAATGCGCTGACGCGCGTGCTTTAGCCGTCCCATTGCGCGTAGCTGGTACTCTAGCTGGGTGCACGGGAACAGTTTCAGAAGAGGGATCCCGTCCGCTGTGCGTTCTTGATTGGGATCGTCGGCGGCGTCTGAAGGGTCTTGATCGGAGACTGGACTCGACGCGCCGTTATGTGCACTGCCACTTCTTTTCTGGGGGGCGTCATTCATATCCTCACAGGCACCTTGATCCGAGCAGTAGTACGATTCAACGTGTGAAGCGTTATGGCCTTGAAAAAGGTCCTCGAGCCGTGACTGAATACGACGGCGTTTTTGGCGATCACCGACTTCTTCATGGGGGCGACTTAAACGACTCATCCAATCGCAGCACTTATACTGTATGCAGACTCAAAAAAAAAAAAAAATCACGGCGACATAGTAGTTTGCCTCGGAGACCCGTAAACGTGATGGCCGGTGCTAGTGACCGGCTTTCGGAAAAAGCTGGACCGGGTCCCAGAGCTGTTCTCTCTGGGCCAATTCGAAGAACAGAACATTCAGTGAAATATTTTGGGAACGACAGAAAATGCGTACACCCGGAACTTAGGTTTGTCAATTGTTCGTCGTCGCTATCTTCCCCCACTTTTCTCTCTCGCCCTCTTCTTGCCGAGTTTCCCTACGCATCGCATGAGGCTCTATGGAGATGCCACTGGCATCTCCTCTGCCTACCTTTCCCCCTCTCTCTCGCGCCGTGCCGGCTGGTTTCTTTTTTTAGAGCGCAGCTCTTAGGGGCCCGTTCCCGGCTTGAGCGGCGTCGCCGTCGCCGTCGCCGTCGGCGTAACCAAGGTCATCCCAAGGTCACTTGACCCCCAAGGTCATCCCAAGGTCATGTGACCCCTCCCCAAGGGTCACCGGGGGTCACGTGACTCCCAAGGTCACGTGACACCCAAAGTCACGTGGCTCCCCAAGTCACGTGACCCCCGATGACGTCATCAGTGACGTCACTGATAACGTCACCGGCATCCGCATCGTCATTGTCATCATCACTGATGACGTCATCAGTGACGTCACTGATGACGTCACCGGCATCCGCATCGCCATCGTCATCATCACTGATGACGTCACCGGCATTCGCATCGTCATCATCGCTGATGACGTCATCAGTGACGTCACTGATGACGTCACCGGCATCCGCATTGTCATCGTCATCATCACTGATGACGTCACCGGCATCCGCATCGTGATTGTCATCATCACTGATGACGTCATCAGTGACGTCACTGATGACGTCACCGGCATCCGCATCGTCATCATCACTGATGACGTCACCGGCATTCGCATCGTCATCGTCATCATCGCTGATGACGTCATCAGTGACGTCACTGATGACGTCACCGGCATCCGCATCGTCATCGTCATCATCGCTGATGGCGTCATCAGTGACGTCACTGATGACACCGGCATCCGCATCGTCATCGCCATCATCACTGATGACGTCACCGGCATCCGCATCGTCATTGTCATCATCACTGATGACGTCATCAGTGACGTCACTGATGACGTCACCGGCATCCGCATCGTCAGCGTCACTGATGACGTCAGCGGCATTCGCATCGTCATCATCGCTGATGACGTCATCAGTGACGTCACTGATGACGTCACCGGCATCGTCATCATCGCTAATGACGTCATCAGTGACGTCACTGATGACGTCACCGGCATCCGCATCGTCATCATCATCACTGATGACGTCACCGGCGTCCGCATCGTCATCATCATCACTGATGACGTCACCGGCATCCGCATCGTCATCATCACTGATGACGTCATTGGTATCCGCATCGTCATCGTTACTGATGACGTCATCAGCATCGTCATCGTCACGTGACCCCCCTAGGTCACGTGACCCCCACCCAAGGTCACTTGATCCCCCCAGTACCCTTCCCTACTCCTCCTCAAGAGCTGCGCTCTAATTCGGCGTTACAGGGAGTTGTAAACGGCTTTCACTTTTTTTCTTTATTTTTCTGTGTTTTTTTTCGGCACGTAAGTGCGGACTGAGCTTGAACGCTTTTTGAACCATCATCTGGGCCATTCAGGGGTTGGCATCATGAATGTTAATTTCCACAAACCGTTGACAGTATCTACCGGATTTCGTCATTGCCGGGCATTTTATTTATTTATTTTTTTTTAGTCAACTTCAAAAATGCGAAAATGTGCAGTGAAGTTGTGCTCTGATATAG